AGAGTTAGCGGGGAGACATTGATATTATCCTTACTCTTATTTGAAGCGAATTTGGACAATAAGACAGCAAGATTCTGTACAAAATACAAATTAAAGCTGTGATTTAAGTCCTGTATTAGAAATGTACTTTATACGACCAGGACTTACGTGGAGAACAATGCAACTCATCATGGAATAAAAGTCAAGTAAAAATGTAATGTAGCAAGTTAACGTATACCTTTTTCTATCAACGCGTATGAACAAAAGTACTGAATGCAGTATACAGAACACAGTATTCATTACTGAACGGAAGTTGGTTTGTGGGTTCCTGATGCATGTACCTTCAATAAAAATTCAGAAATACAAAAAAAGAGAGCGGCTGAGCAGGTAACATAAGTCAATTTATAAAGTTTAACATCAAATCTCCTTGGTCTAAAAGCTACTTGTTGTCGTTGTGTTACATACTTTATTTGAAAATTTGTTCTTCAGCTTCTTCTCAATGGCTGTCCATCCATGAGATCCCAAGTCGAAGAGCAAAAAAAGCAAATTAACATATTGAGCTTGCAATCTTTTCCACTACTTTTGGTGTTGAATATTGGTGTACATTGCAAGTGTACATGTTTGGGAGTGTGTCGGCGGGGGATAGGTCCATTTTTGGTATGGCGTATGTAGTGAACCCATGCTGCATTTGCTCCTTAGCAAATGTCAGCCTTTCTGGTTTTATTTTATTTTTTAGCGAAGCCGTTGGTATAGTACTGCGATTGAGTTGAAAATATTCTAAAAATTTCACCAATGCATTCCCCAGGGAACTAAATTTTGTCAACAAGATAACCCAAGAACGGCTAGATGGATTGGTTTCATACCTGGTGTGTCCGTAGGGTGTGACTAAATCTAGAAATTACGAGATTTTTGGCACCCTAGTGGTTTCCGTTGGTACTGCAGCGGAACTTCTGGTCTTGATATCTCGCGATCTGGGCATGCTAGGGTTATGGAGGGAGACAGCTCAGGAACAGCAACATGTTCACTCTGCCTAAAGCTAGGACTCTACGCCTGAAAAAGTCTTTCTTACATTGTGCAGTAAGACTCTACAATGACAGTGACAATGGCTGATATTTGAAAACGTATGTGTGCTATTTCCTGTAGTAGAGTGAATAGTGTTTGTACACATTTGTATATAGTGTGTTTCGAATCTGTGTACCTGTTTTATTTTTTAACCAATTGTAAAAATCGAATACATAATTCAAGGGTGCATTAGCATTTCCTGCTTTTGTACGATTTTGTTGGATTGAATAAATTGAATTGAAATTGAAAATTGAACTACTACAACCATGCATAAGTCATCAGGAACCTGAATAGTAACAAGTGTCCATAGGCGACAATTCTCCCTGAAGTTTTATATTTTGCAGATTGAGAACAGTAATAGTGTATGTAAACAGTGTGTGATCACTTAACAACTGGTAACAACGTAACGTAAAAATGGCTAAATCCCTGGTCAAATAATCTAGCATGACTAAAAAATCGCGCTCCTGGTGGCAGGTGGCCACCTGCCCAGAGGTTTGCCGCCCCCTTGGGGAAACAGTTGCAGACTAACTAGTGTAACAATGTGTATTGTTAGTTTTATTAAGCATTGTATTATCGCCGGTTCTATCCCCTCCCTTGGGCGGAGCCGCGGTCACCTGTTCGAACACACGTGCAAGCGCACGTGCCAACGTCGTGTTCGAACAGGTGATCTATACCGGTACCGTTCGAGGGAAGGGGCTCTAGAACCGGCCGGTTGGAGATTGAATAAAGGGGTTGAGATAAAGCCATTGGCGAGTTCAGACGTGCGTCCTTCACGTCATGTTAGAAAGTCAGTTCCTACTCATGATGGGGTCGGTCGTCTGCGACACAAGGGCTCCCTTGAGTCAGCGGGCTGGGTTCCGCAGGCGGACCGTGCCACGTCGCCGCGTCCCGACCG